ACTGGATATCTCTGTGCAGAAGAATGAATCTAAATCTCCACCATATGCAGAAATCAACTCAAAATGGATTAAAGACTTAAATGTAAGATCTGAAAATATTAGAAAACATTGAGGAAAGGCTTCAGGACATTAGTCTGTGCAAGAAGTTTTTGGGGTTAAGACCTCAAAAGCATGGGCAGCAAAAGCAAAAACAGACAAATGGGATTGTATCAAGCTAAAAATCTTCTGCATGGTAAAGGAAACAGTGAAGTGAAGAAACAACCTGTGGGATAGGAGAAGATTTGCAAACTATCCTTCTGACAAGAGATTAATAACCAGAATATATAAGGAACTCAAACAGCTCAATAGCAGAAAAACAATCTGAGTAAAAAATGGGCAAAAGACCTGAGTAGGCATAAAGACATACCAGTGGCCCACAGGTATACGAAAAAATGCTCAACATCACTAATCATCAGGGAAATGCAAATCCAAACTACAATGAGATATCATCACACCCCAGTTTGAATGGCTTTTACCAAGACAAAAAATTACAAATGCTTTCAAAAGAGTGGAGAAAGGGAAATTCTTATATGCAGTTTGTGGGAATGTAAAGTAGTACAACTGTTATGGGAAATAGTATGGAGGTTTCTCAAAAAAATTAAAAATAGAACTAGCATATAATTCAGCAGTTTCACTGCTCAATATATGTCTAAAAGAAAGGAAATCGTTATTTCAAATGATACCTACGCTCTGATGTTTACTGCAGCACTAGTCACAATAGGCAAGATGTGGAATCAACCTGAGTGTCCATCATCAGGTGGATGGATAAAGAAAATCCATCCATCAGGTGGATGGATAAAGAACAATGGAATATTATTCAGCCATAAAAAAGAACAAAATCCTGTTATTTGCAGCAACATGGAACTGAAGATCATTATGTTAAGTGAAATAAACCAGGCACAGAAAGACAAATATCACATGTTATCACTCAGATGTAGAAGCTAAAAAAGTGGATTTTATGAAAGTAGAGAGTAGAATGGTGGTTACCAGAGACTGGGAAGGGAAGAGGGGAATGAAGAGAAGTTGGTTAATGGGTACAAAAATACAGTTAGGTAGAAGGAGTAAGTTCTAGTATTTGATAGTAAAGTAGGGAAATTAAAGTTAAGAATAATTTATTGTGTATTTCCAAATAGCTGGAAGATAATTATAATGGTTCCAACACAGAAAAGTTGGTGATGGATATCTCAGTTACCCTGATTTGATCATCACACATTGTATACGTGTATCAAAATAACCATATGTACTCCCAAAATAAGTATAATATCAATTTTAAAAAGATAATCTGAGCTGTAGTTAAATAATGTGGCTATGATATTATCCTGAATCAGTGGCACAGCTGGGGGTAAAATCGGGTCTGTTTCCATTCCAGAGTTTTTTTCATTAGTCTTAGAAATAACTGCCAAAAATTCCTTTGAGACACTGACCTATAGCACTGGCCACAATTTCAAGCAGAAGCAATGGAAGTTAACATTTTAGAAACTGGCATTTCTGTAGCTCTGCAGATTGGGAAAGATACCTTTAAAAGGAATGGTGTATCTCTCTGCGTGCCCTCTGATGGAAGTGCTGTTTAGCAACAGCGTGTGTAAAAGACCAGTGAGAGGCAGGTAATAAGGAACCAGATAATTCTTAAATGAGTAACTTTTTTACCATCAAGAATTTCTTACGTAACCAAAAATCACTTGTACCCCAAAAGCTATTGAAATTTTTAATGTTGAAAAACAATTCCTTATACATACAAATCCCTGTTTCTGTTTGTCTCACCACCAAAATGTAAAAATATATTTTCGTAAGACTTATTAATTAAACATGTTCTACTTCATTCAACAGCATCCAACAAATCATTTGCTGAGTGCCTTTATACCAAGTGCTGGGGTTAAAGTGATGAGCAGAAGACTTATACTTTATTGAAATAAAACAGTTGTTGAAGTAATAATCATACAAATAAGTAGTTATAGTTATTTAAATGCTATGCATAAAATCTACTAAGGGATTAATAATCAGGGGCCAGGTGTGGTGGCTCATGCCTGTAATCTCAGCACTTTGAGAGGCCGAGGAATTCAGATCAGCCTATGCAACACAGCAGGACCCCGTCCCTATAAAAAAGGAAGGAAAAAAGGTTATATAGTAATGTTCAGAAAGGCTCACTTAAAGAGTTAAAGTTTTAGCTGAGATATGAAGGTTTAATGAAACAAAAAGGTGGAGGGATAGAGAAAAGGAGCTTATACTCAGCAAACAGCACGTACAGAGGCCCTGAAGAAGGACATAGTATGATCTATCCTAAGAATTGAAAGACAACTAGAGTATTTGGAACAGAGAAAGCTAATAAAAAATGCAAATCCCAGTCATGAGAAGAGAAGTGAAGGTGTTTACTAAGTATCACCAAGGAAACCACAGCAAAAGGAGAAGTGAATCTCCCCCCAAAATAAACTGCTGTTAGAATTTTGTTTTAAAGATTCGTTGTCAAGAACACTACAATTTTTAATTTGCTAAGTAGAGTATTACTAAGATTTGGGCAGTTTTAATGTATTCTTTTTCATTTGATTTTTATTCCTTTCTATACTGACTTACTGGAAATTGAGGGATGACTTTGATGTGCTGAAGTGTTTAGATCAGTAATTTTCACTGTTGAGCGGTCACAGAAAGAGAGAATCTTATCTTGTTTTCTTGGCTGGGGATTTTGTGTGGGTGTCTGAGGTGCAGCTGCACCATGAGTTTCTTGGCAGTGAGGACAGGGCACTTCTCAATGCAGTTCATCTTGAATAGGAAGAAACTTAAGAGTAAAAAGTCTACTTTGAATGCACTAACTTCAGTGGAAAACACCCAGGGCCTGAACCTTCCGCTGACATCCTGTTATTTGGTTAAATGGATACAGCAGCCTCAGACCCATGTCCAGGTTTTATGGTAGGAACACATGAAGGAGAGAACAGTGAAAGCTTTGTTTCAGTATAAAACTATCAGTTACCACATCTAGTTTTTAAATGTTTTTGGTTTTTGTTTGTGGTCTATTTAAGTTTTTTCTCTAAAGAACACTTAATAAAAAAGGCAGATTGATGGAAACCTAGCTTTGCTTGCAAGTGTGAATTCATAGTTTTATGTAGCTTCTCAGAAAGATTTTTTCAGATTTATTTATATACAGATAGATTCCCAGATCTGCTTTTATTGCTCACGTTTTCTTCACTCTCCTTTGACCTCTTCTGTAGTCTATAAGCATCATGTTTTCCAAAACCCTCAAATTAAATGCAGACAGTATAGAACTTCTCATTTTTAAGCACACTTGCATCCTTCCCTTTGCATAAACTCATCGTTACCCTTCATAAGCAGAAACCTTTGAGCTGCATCCAGTGCTTAACTGCTTGTTTATATCTTTACTGTTTTTTAGTATTACTACTTTCAGAGTAGTATAAAGTCTTGTTCTATGGACAGTGTCCCTGAGTTCAAATCCAGTCCTGCTACTTACTTTGTTGGTTCCATTAGTTTTTTTAGTTTTTAACTTCTAAAATAAAGATAAATATGTTAGAACCTCGTAAGTTTTTTTTAAGACGTAAGAAAATGCATACAAAGGACTTAATTTAAAATAAATATTCAGGAGAAGAGATGCTAGTTATCATTTTATTCTTGATTTAAGTCCAGTCTTCTAGAATCTATTAATAGCTGTCTTTCTGGTTGATGTCATTTAGTCTAAAGATCGTCTATATGCTGATGACTTCCCACTAATACTTCTGTTCCTAACCTCACTTTTTCCTAAGCTCCAGACTTGCAGGTCTGACTGCTACTATATTATCTACACTTAAATGTCAGATGCATACTTCAAATATAACATGTCTTAAAACAACTTTTGATCTCTATCACCCGCCCCTGCTCGTTTCCCCAATCTTTTCCTCCCCATTCTTTTCTATCTCAGTTAATGGTAGCACCCTTTGTACTTCTGGCTTTTGTTTAGCTCCCAGCCCCTGTCCATTTAATCAGCACATCTTAATAGCATTATCCCCAGAATATATCCTGAATCTGACTCCTTGTTGTCATCTTATCTACTACCATCATAGTCTAAGACAATAATCCTTTCCTGTCCTAGGCGATTTTGTAATGAATGATCTTCTTATTTCTCTGTATTTCACGATAAGACTGGACCATTTTTAGTCTTACCTTGAACAATCCATTCTCTACTTTGAAGAACAATATTCTAAAAAAAGATTATTCCCCTTCTTTTTATTGAAATTAGAAAACTATCCAGAGTTCTTGAAAGCCTTTCATGACCTAGCTCCTCTCTGACTTTCTGCTAGTCTCTCAAACCCTGCTAGTTCATTCCATGTGAAGGCTCTTCTTACTAGCCTTTTCCTCTCTTTGGGATATTTTTCACCCATATCTTCACAATGTGGCTCCTTGCAATTTTTAGGTCTCAGATGTCAACTCCTTAGAGAGACTTACCCTGACATCTTTCCTTCTTTGCTTAAGTTAATCACTATCTGAAATTTCCCTTCCTCTTCCTTCTTTCATAAAGTGCCCCTCCCCAAACCCAAAGGAATTTAATTTCCATACAAGAACTTTATCCATTTTATTCACTGCCATATGCCCAGTGCTTAGAATGGAATCTGGTATTCAGAATGTTTTCAGTATTACAATACTATATGGGTGGATGGCTAGATGAAAGAATGAACAAGTATGTGTCTGGTAATTTTTCTACAACCAGAGAAATGATAGATTATTTCATCCTTACAAACTTTGTATAGGTGTTTATTTTAGAATTAATTATGCTAATCTTTGTCCTAATTGCTTTTATCTATCACTTCTGTTTTTGATTGTAAGGCTTTCCTCTCTCATAGAGTGCTGGATACAATTTTAGTACTTAATGTTAATTAAATTGAAAATGCAATCTAACATCTTTATATTCTCTGAAATTATAGAATATGTATTTCTGAAAGCAGGTGTGTTTAAAATATGCATTCCCCTTTTATCTCTTGCAGTTCATAATTGGACCCTTGAAGACACTCTTCAGTGGTTGATAGAGTTTGTTGAACTACCCCAATATGAGAAGAATTTTAGAGACAACAATGTCAAAGGAACGACACTTCCCAGGTGAGTCTTTGTTATGCAAATGTATTTTCCTCTCAGGGAGAGTTATATGTAGATGTCTTTTCCCATACTGAATCTACAAGTTACTTCCATAAGTGAGGGCACAAAGGAAATATAAATGTATCCATTCTTTAATCTTTCTAAATTATGCATTTTCAAGTTTTAATCAATTTTTCTTGTCTAAATAATCAGGCTCTTGAAAAAAATTATTTCCAAGGAACATGATTTTGAGTTTCAGATGGTGGGTCAACTATATTATTTGTAAATAACATCAAGGGTCAACTTTTGACCGATCTAAGAAAAACTTTTTTATTTGATACTGATTCATTGTTGTGAACACACCTACTTGAATGGATTGATGTGCATCTCTTTCTTGTGACATTTTAAATGACAATAACCATTGAGTTATGGTGTCTATACGTTATACCTGAATTTTAAAAATGAAACTAATAAAAAATAGCAGCCATTTAAAAATGTATGTTACATACAAGTACTTTATATTATCTCATTTAACCCTCATGATTAAAATGAGCTATATATTGTCCTTCCCATTTTACAGGTTAAAAAAACCAAGTCAGAGACAAGTTAAACATTTCGCCCAAGGCAGCATTTAAACCCAGATAGATTTGATAGCAAAGTCTAGGTTGCCAGTTTTTCCCTTAGATGTCTGAATCCAGTTGTTTTCTAAATTTTATTTTCTAAATTATATCTAAATTGTATCATTTGCAAATACCAAATGATATAATTTAGAAATTATAATTTCTAATTAATTTAATTAACTTAATAATTTTGAAGGATTTAAATGTCAAAATTTACAATAATTCTACCAGAATTTTTTACCCTTACATGATTGCTTCTTAAGTTTTATTTTTCCCTGGATGATTTCCTACATCAAAAAAGACTCTAATCAGTTATTACAATCTGATCATTATATGTAATGAAATACATACATTGTGTCCCTAGTCAACTTCCTTACATGCCCTATTTAGATAAGTATCCTTTGTTGCTTTGAGTTTTGTATTTTGGATCAAGTTGAAAGTTTTCAAATCTCTCTTAAATGTATTCTGAACACCAACATGAATATTTCTGATTTTATTATATACATGACTAGAATGATGAAATTATGGGGATTAGAGTCAATTTGATAAGTACTTCCTGAATATCTTTCATGTTCATAGTACAACTAGATGTTCGAAAGAAGACAAAAATCAAATAAAATATAGTTCTTTTAATTAAAACAAGTTCTTAAAACAGAGTCAAACATTAAAATAAAATTAGAGTTTTTTAGTTTATATATGTTGCCCTGGGTATGAGGAACAATAGGAATTTCCTTGTTGCCTTTTGAGAAACTTCTTTATATAACAACAACATGAAATAAAATAGGCTAATCTGTGTTTTGACAATCAGTGTTATAGCTACATCATTTCTTTTGGTTAAGTAAAGATGATCAGAGATGCTTCCAATTCTGGTAAAATTGTGACATCACACACTTGTCAAGATAACTCCTTAAACAGTGAACATGTTACTATAGAAAAACATTATAAGCTCAGTTTTCAGGTCAGCCCATTGGAACCTTTTTTAGGGGAGGAGAAAGGAAAACAATAAACTCTTTCTTAAGCCCCCGTTATGTAGTCATGGAAATTAGATGAGTCAGCTTAAAGTAGCAATATCTATTAATTTCAATTATTATGTAAGTTCCAGAGCTCTTTGTATGGTATCTGTAGACATAAGATTTAGTTAGAAGAACGTATAAGAAAATGTATTACATATTCTAGATAGTTGGCCTACAACAGTCCATTATGATGTTTCTTTTCTGTGACGTTAAAACCCTTTACATCTGCTAAAGGTAGCCAAAACTATGTTTTATGTTGACTGTAGTGGTGATCTTAAACCTTTCACTGTGTTTTCTACTCTGTAATTGTTACTACCAAACATTATACTAAGGCTCTCTTCACCCGACACATACCACCTCATTTCTTTCAGGCCTATGTGGCCTTCCCTGATACCCTCACCCACTCAGGTGGAATCATTTTTACCTCTGGACTCATATTGAATCTTGCATAAAATTTTGTTATATATTTTCTTTTTTACTACATCTCATTGTCTTTCTTAGCCTATTGATAGTTTGCTATTAATTCATGCATCCATCCATCCATCCATTCATTCAGCTATTATACAAACATTTATCAAGCTTCTACTTTTGGCAAGTACTACATTAGGCTTTGGGGATACAGAGATAAGACATAGGCCTTGCCTTTGTTTGATAAGTGTCATGTTAAAGGTGTAAGGGAAGCATATAGGAAAGTACCTGTGAAGATAAAGGAAGGCATTTTAGAGAGGGAATGTTAGAGTTCTTTGCTCTTTAAGGTTTTATAGAAGCCTCATAGGAGTTCCTGTAATTTCTCCATACTTAGAGAGTACTGATACCTTTCTCTACAAAATGTAGTGTTTCAGAGTAGTCTTTGGAATCATACATATTTGGGTTTGAATCCTTGCCTTACCTATTACTAATTATGTAACCTTAGGCAAGTTAATCTCTCACAAGTATCTTCAGCTATAAAATGGAAGTACTGTTATAAGGTTTTCTTGACTATGAAGCCATTGGTACAGGACCCAGCATATATTATATGTCTGTATTTATTGTCATTGTTATTATTATTAGACTTTCTCTAATGAAATCTTTACTAGCATCATACTTGGTTGTTAAGAAATCTTAGTTGAGTACTGGGCTGCTTGTATTTATAGTCCATAATAAAGTGATTTTATTTCCTTATTTTACCTGTGCCCCCTACATGCTTTCTTCATAGCTAATAAAATGGTTTAGTACTTCTTATTATATAAATTCCTTTACCCACCTGCCTCAATCCGTGAAGGCTTTTTATTTCCCACTTGTGACTTCAATGTACTTTGTTCAATTTTTAAACAGTTTAAACATTAGAATGTTAAAGATACAGATTTTTTGATACTTTAAAAAAGAATCAATATGCTCTAAATTGAAAACTGTTTTTTAAAGTGTGCTGTAGATGTTAAATTATTTACGGTTTTATTATCCTTTGTGAAAGGATAATAAATGACAGAAGTAATTAATGATTATAAAATATTTTCAACTTTAGGCCGGGCACGGTGGCTCACGCCTGTAATCTCAGCACTTTGGGAGGCCGAGGCGGGTGGAACACGAGGTCAGGAGATCGAGACCATTCTGGCCAACATGGTGAAACCCCATCTCTACTAAAAATACAAAAAATTACCCAGGCATGGTGGCGGGTGCCTGTAGTCCCAACTCCTCGGGAGGCTGAGGCAGGAGAATCGCTTGAACCCGGGAGGCAGAGGCTGCAGAGAGCCAAGATCAAACCACTGCACTCCATCCTGGGTGACAGAGTGAGAGTGTTTCAAAAAAAAAATTTTTTTTTTCAACTTTATAAATTTCTAAATCATAGTAAGTCATAACAGAAAGTAACCTTAGAAAATAAAAACTTTTTCAGTGTAGCTACTAAATGATTAAACATACAGGAGTCTTTCTGTAGCTAAGTTTGCTCTGAAGAGGTTTTTGAAACGTGTAACAAATTATTAAATCGCACAGGGATGAGCTCCAACAGTCGTCATCAGTAATATGTAAAGTATTAAATGTGTTGCTCAAATATTTAAGTTTATGTACTAGAAATATTTTCATTTAATATATATATATGTTTTTCAAATAAACAGGATAGCAGTGCACGAACCTTCATTTATGATCTCCCAGTTGAAAATCAGTGACCGGAGTCACAGACAGAAACTTCAGCTCAAGGCATTGGATGTGGTTTTGTTTGGACCTCTAACACGTTAGTATTCTCTCTCACTCAGAGGATGATGTAAAATAATATCCTGATCATCTCTGTGTTATTTAAGGAAAGAAAAAAATAAGATAGTAGGCCTCTAAGAAGAATCATCTATTAGCTGTGAAAGAAGTATAATACTTTCTTAAAAGATTTATAGGATGGGATTTTCTGTCACTGAAACATGAGTGTGAAATTTTCAAAGCTGGTTACTAATGTAAGAAGTTGTATATAAAAAAACTGTATTTAGCAGTTAATTTAGAATTTTTAGGTTTCAAACTTTGGATCTTTGGAGCAGTTTTAATGTTGCTGTTACTGTAATTGGATATTCACTGAGGAATCTCTTAAAAAATAACACAATCTAACCATCTTGATGGCATGAAGCAATAGAGCCTAACAGTTTCACTAAGTACTAAGAAAAGGGTTTTTTAGATGTAGATGGAAAGCAAAGACTCACTTGAAGCTTTATAAATTAACGAACTATACTGGCAGGAGCAGGAAGTAGGCAATGTTATTTGATTGTTTTGAAGAGAAACATTTGAGAAAGTGTTATGTAATATCTGTAAAGAAAATAAACCTTGTATTTATTTACTTTGACAGGAATATTTTTTTCCCCAGAAGAGAAGTTTAATATGTTTGTTTTATTTAATTTCAAATTTTTCAGAAAGCTTTGGGAGACAGTGTTTGAAAAGTACACCTTTTAAAGGAATTATTTTTTTAAGTCAAAAAGAATAACAAAATTAATACAAGAAAAATGGCTTCCACAAGTTATAAAGTAGAAAACTAATGTTTATTCTCCCTGAATTCTTGGAGTTAGATTTTCAGGTTTCTATGATACCATCTTGGGAATGGCCCTTCTAAAAAAGGGTAACTAGAATTGGTTGAATAGATTTCATGACTTTACTGGTGGTTCTTTTTTGGCTTGGACTAAAAGAGCAGCTGGTGAAACAGCTGGAACTCCCCTTATGAGAGTTGGTGGAAATGCACTGTTGGTGGAAATTACAAACCCTAGGAAACAGAACACTACTGAAATGCCGAGCGTTCCATAGAGATGATGCCCTTTCCAACCTTTTCCTTGTCCTCACTTCCAGACTGAATCCATTGGGGGATTGTCTTCTGTGGGATTCTGTCCAATTTTTCTCATGTGAGTGGTTGGTAAAAATAGGAATTAAAGTATAGAATTTGTTTCTATTTACAACTTGATCAGGAATATTCATATTTTATTAATCTTGGAACTAACACCTTTCTAAGCCCCAAAAATTATATTACCAAGTCATTTGAAAAGAAATCAAACTAGTCGCAAAAAAGATTGTAAACAAATACTTAAGTAAACCATTTAAAAAGTTAATGATTTTAAATGTTTGTCTTAGAATGATTATTTGAGTGAATGTGCCCCATAGTGAGAACACTTATGTTAGATTTATTTTAAAAACCAGCATTGTGAAATGAACAGAGATATATTTTAAAGGAGTTGTTTTTTTTTTTTAATCTTTTCTAGTCTAGTGCTTATTATTGAGTGTGGGACCTTATTTATCTATTTATTGTTATTTATGGTCAGAGAATAGAGCTCATAGTTGAAGGAGAACCTGAGTTGAACATCTCAGTGTGAGGCAGAAATAAAAAATGCTTTTGAGATTGTAGCTTTCAGCAGTACATTTCTTCCACTACAGGTGGAAGGGTGAGGGTGTGCACTCTGGCAATATGGAAAACTGAGTCTCCAATGTAGAGCATGCTACATATCATACTACACAAACATAGCCAAACCCCAGACTTGTCAGCCTAGGAGCTTGGGATTTCTGTAGAATTCTTTATGTCACCACACTTCAAAATATGTTTCTGCTGGAGGCCTGGCCATTTAGGCAGTTTTTCACTGTGAGCTGTATCTCTTTGGAGCATTACGATAATATATTAGCTATCATTGTGTCTCTGTTCCAGAGAGCCCCGTGAAAATTAGTGTGTACTGACTGGGCTGAATTAGGAAATTTGAATAGTGATTTCTGTGTTTTGTATCACCGAAGGCAGTAGGCCCTGGCTCCTCCCTTGTTGTTTTAGACATACGGCTGGGGATTAGCATCATGCCAGTAACCCCTGTATCTCTGGCATATAGACACCTAAAATTGAGTAATTGTTATTACTATTTAACCCAGGCTTTTATCAGCCTTAGCACTAGTCACTCTTTGGGCTGGATAGTTCCTGGATAAGTCTTTGTTATCAGCAGGGGGGACACAGGGAGGAGGTTGTCTTGTGCACTGTAGGATGTTCGGCAGTACTTCTGGCATCTGCCCACTAGATGCCAGTAACCACTCCTCAAAGTTGAGACAACCCAAAATTGTCCAATGTCTGCTAGGGGTGGGTGAGGAATTACCACCAGCCTTGAGAACCACTGATTAACCTAACCTAATTAGTTATATGGCTACCTCCTTGGGGAAAATACATTTTGGTGAGTGATCAGGTTTGTAAGTGTGTCAAAAACGTGACGGCTGTCTGGCTTCACTGCAGGAAGGGAGTTGGGATGATGGTGGTGATACTTTTGATGGCTCCCTTCACCCCACAGAGGACCATTCTGGCAGCATATGATTGGAGGTGCGATTGCTTTTTCAAGGGTCCCCATGACTTTGGCCACTCCGTCTGCCACCAGCAGGGGCATGGTGTGTCCTTATGAGTTTACCTCTACCCTTCTATAAGTCTAGTATATCAAAGAGTTATAAGAAGCACAGTCATTATTTGAAGAAAGAATTTTTAAAAGGCTAGAGCTTGTGCATAGGAAAGAGATCTCCACTTTTTGGTTTTATTTTAGATAACTACTTAAAAAATGTCTTTTTGTATTGAGGTCCTGTCCTATTCAAAGATTAATTTTATCATCTGTAATTCTCTTAATAGGCCCACCTCATAACTGGATGAAAGATTTTATCCTCACAGTTTCTATAGTAATTGGTGTTGGAGGGTGCTGGTTTGCTTATACGCAGAATAAGACATCAAAAGAACATGTTGCAAAAATGATGAAAGATTTAGAGAGCCTACAAACTGCAGAGCAAAGTCTAATGGACTTACAAGAGAGGTAAGTTCAGAAAAATCATAACTCATGTTATGTATGTAGGCAAATACAATTTGTAAAAAAAGTAATATGGGCATGTGCTTAAACACTTATATTTAGGTTATTATACACATCAGGAATATATGCATATTTGATTTCACATTTTTTTAGAAAAGTATATTTTTATAATTACAGATTTATTATAAATGTGTGTACTTGAGAATAAATGACTAGAAGAACAGTGGAGGTAAGTCAAATATAGTGGGATTAGATGTGTAGCTAAGTTTTATTTTTAACTTGATTTAAATAATTATGAATTTTTAAAAAGCTTTTTGCGGAAGAGTATTTCCCTGTTTTCCCTGTCTTTTGAGCCCAGGATAACCAAAATAGCTGTATAGTAAGTTGCCTGATATTTTTATTAGCCAAACTTAGGGCTAATGAAAAATGCTACGATTTCTGATTGAAATATGTATTTAATTGCTTGACACAGTATTTATTATTTTGTAAAAAATAAAACTTTGGAAATTTTTGTGAGGAATTTTTATTTTTATTGTTCTATAAGGCTTGAAAAGGCACAGGAAGAAAACAGAAATGTTGCTGTAGAAAAGCAAAATTTAGAGCGCAAAATGATGGATGAAATCAATTACGCAAAGGAGGAGGCTTGTCGGCTGAGAGAGCTAAGGGAGGGAGCTGAATGTGAATTGAGTAGACGTCAGTATGCAGAACAGGAATTGGAACAGGTATTTACATTAAAAAAAAGTCACTTGTGAAGATGTTAACATTGCCACTCTGAGGAGGCAGGTCCTGTTTTTCTTCAGTTTCCTACATTTAGTTCCATTGTCTACTGTTCCTCAGTTGATAAAAGAATCATTTATGTTGTTAGCATTGATCAAAGTTCATATAGCAAAATAACACAGTAACTGAAAGATAAAGTTGCCATGATGTTCACTCATTCATGAAATCTTATCTCTTGCCATGTTCATTGTCTTGAGTAAATTTAAGGTGTTTAACATCTGTAATATGTTTAAGTTTCTGACTGTAATGTAGTAAGATAAAGTATATCTAGGTTTGAACTTCTCTGCAAAGGTAAAGGATCTCTATTAAACATCCATTTGAATCCTGTTAAATAGTTTTAGAACATAATCTGCTAAAAATTCTGAAGCTCCTTTCCAATACCTGCTTCTCCTGTTCAGTTACTTAAGATAGAATATAGGCATTTAGGCATTGCACAGAGTCCTTTGGAGAGGGTGAGGTGCTGGGAGAATTTAATTATAGGCAGATGCATTAGTTTCCTGTTCCTGCTGTTTTTTAAAAAAAAAAAAAAGCCACAAACTTAGTGGTTTAAATAAACATAAATTTATCATCGTAAAGTTCTGGAGGAATTTAATTATAGGCAGATGCATTAGTTTCCTGTTCCTGCTGTTTTTTAAAAAAAAAAAAAAGCCACAAACTTAGTGGTTTAAATAAACATAAATTTATCATCGTAAAGTTCTGGAGGTCAGAGTGAGCTGAGGCGAGCCTGCAGGACTGTTTTCCCTCTGCAGACTGTAGGGGAGGATGTGCTTCCTTGCCTCCTCCACTGGTAAAGCCCACCCACGTTTCTCAGCTCATGGCCCCTTCCTCTGTCTTCAGAGTATGTCATTCCAGCCTCTACTTCTGTGGTCCCATCTCCTCCTTCTGACTTTGATGATTTTGTTACTGATAATGAAGCTGAAGAACAAAATGAGGATTATAAAACTTGCTCAAAATTAGAGGTGACTCAGTTATAAAGCAGGGGCAAGAACTTAGGTATTCTGCCTCCACTTCATTTTATGCACTGTTGCTGCCTTCTTAATAGAGTGCTAAGAAAGAAATGCAAATTAAGTGATGAATGACTTAAGGTCAACTCAGGAGAAAATATGCACTGTGCATTACTGTTTCCTTCAAGATCGCCATTTTATGAGAATATGTCTGACTGAACGCAGCCATCTTTTTTATAACTGTTAACCACTCCTTCTCTGACACCCCTAGATGTCTGTGTTTTGGAGCTCTTCCCTCTAGGAACTCTTAGATGTATTTTACAGTCATGTCCCATTCACCTAACAAATCATAGCAGCACAGAATGTAGCAAAGAATCAGGGAGTTGGCAAAAAAGACCTAGTCGAAATCATACTGTATCCGAGAATTGGGTACTATGCCCTTTACCCTCCTGCCTTTTTCCACCAAGACGTCCAACTCGCAGTTTGTTCTGGTATATTTCTGTCTTTCTAAACTTTGTACATAAGAAAGAGCGAATCAGAAAACAGTAGTTTGGAATTCTTCTACAGAGATATAAACTGATGGTAGTACTTCACAGGTGATTGTCTCACAGTGAGGGAGAAGAGACAATATAAAAAAAGGGCCCAAGAATTATGGACATTCTAACTTAAAGCTTTGGGAGAGAGACAGTGCACATCTCAATAGACCCTGAAGTTACCAAAATATGATGTATTGGTATGAATGTAATCTCACTAGATCCTGGGTCAATAAAAGGTGATTTAAAGGAAGGAAATTGGTATTTTAAAAAGAACACTGTCTGGCATGATTATATTAATAAGAAACACAGTTTTCTGAGGGCTTACTCTGTACCAGAAGTGTATGCCACAAACATTGCCAGTGGTTTGCTCATAAATTTTAATCCTCACAGCACATAGATATTATCTTCATTTACAAATGAGCTGTGTAGAGAGGCTAGATAACTTATTTGCCTTGGGTTACACAGCTGTTAACTGGTAAAGGCAAGATTTTGCGTGTCATATTCCAAAGTCTGTGTCTTCTCATACTGCTATTAAAAGCCTTGCTTGTAGAAATAAGTTTAACTGAGAAATGATGTATAATATGACATAACCCACAATTCCACATAGTTCAGGGAATTACTGTATTTTGTCTGGAGAATAATCAACATAAATTTAGAAGTCAGGAAAATCCGGTAGGTTTTTTATATAGTGTTATTTTTCCTAGAACAGAGACTTTTGGGTGACTAAGTACCACTTTATATTTTGTGTGATTTAAATAGTTTTCACAAATTGGTTTCTTAGAAAAAGTCTCAGGAAGCCTTTAATCAGGGCAAGTGAAATACCCCTATTCTCCATGAGACAATAAGCCTTAGGAACTTACTAAGGTTACACAGATGATAAATAATACAGTTGGGTCTAGAAACCAAGTTTTCAGATATTTAGGCTGTTTTTGTGACATCATGTTTTTACTTACTGTTGTTTTATTCCTAAGATACAAAAATTATGTAAATAATTGTTACATTTTAAACAGTTATTTATTGTTTGCAAAAGCTCTGTATTATTCAATTTTTTCTGTGTTCATTCCCCTATAAACAACAATGTGATTTAAACTAAGGGTTGGGATTTAGATTAAATGAAACATTTATGAGTAATAGCAGAGAAAACAGTTAAATAGTTGCTACTATCAGAAGGTAAGACTTTCCACAAGTTTGAGTCATTATTTGGCAATCAATCTAAACATTGTTCATCTTCAATTTATGCTAAAAATATATATAAGTAGTTTTTATGTTAAATGTGTTTGAGCTCTTTTAGGGGAAATACATTTATGGAAATATTAAGAAAAATCTATGATTAAAGAGCATAACTTGAATGAATTTTGTTGAGATTCTCTGTATAATTCCTTGGAAGTGAAAATTGTATAGAAATTTTAGCTTTAAAATCTTCTGAGAAAAAGGGCTTGTGTACATACATTTTGTGGTGTTATGCAGGTCTGCATGAACGTGAGCTTAAATTTTATCTTCCTGAGAGATTAGCAGGAACGCCACACAGCTTACCCAACTGACTTGTTAAACACAGTATTGTCCCAAGCCATTGCAGTTAGTTATGTAGGCAGATATGTTGCCTGGGATTTGTTTTCAGTGAGTTAATGCTCTTCCCCTTACTTTAATGTGTTTTTGAATTGTTACCTAGTGTTGCATTGTGAATTTTGTTTTTAATTTTGGAATCTTAAAAGATATTTTTCTACACAATTCTTTGTTTTCACACTAACTGACAGCTGTTCCTTTTCTTTATCAGAAGTTTGTGTATAGTACTCTTGCTGGTTTATTCTGGCACACTATAAAGTTTATTCAAATAAGTTGGGTTTGTTCAGATCAAACATTCCTTTGCTCTTCAGTGTCCTTAGTTAGCTTTGGGGAAAATTAATCTGTGGGGTGGTGCTCGACACGCAGGATGCTCTGTAGTCGCTCGTCGCTTTGCCTCAAGGTCTTGAGTGTGAGTGAGTGTGCACAATTTCATAAATTACATGCTGTATCTTTACACATCTTTAGTTTGAAAACTCTTGCTAGTTTTTAAGTAAATCGTTCCAAGAATGAATCATCTATTCCTTCTGTGTCTTTCCTTAGTGAGGCTTTCCTTATGATACTTTTTCTTAGCGCTTATCAACTAACCACCACGCATTTTTGGTTTTTTTCTGTTTATTTTCTGGCTCCATTAAATGGCAGGTGGAAGAAATACTATGACATCCTTATACTGAAGACTATGCATAGTTTCTCATGAAAAAATCAAGTGGATTCTCACTCAGAATCTGTTTCCTCACAATCTGTACATGCTCTGCAGATGTTCACTTAGCTACTTTCTGGTATATTCAAAGCAGGGAATTACGTAGCAGAAGTGGTAACACAGACAATAATAGGTAGATATACTTGGCAACAATAAGAAATAACTAGCCATAAAGAAGATGTCATGAAAAACTACAGAAAAATACAATTTTTAAAAAATCAGTATATAGTGAAGGAGCTACAGTAGGGTCTTTTGGAAACATTCGGAGGAGGAGTAGAACGTGTATCCACCCAATTTTGGACACTTCTTTATATAATACTTCATAAATGAAATATGCATTATGGGAAAAATATGATCAGTTTTAGTTTGTATATAGCCTTGATTATTTCCCCCTCAGTCTGGTTTTCATAACATACAAAACTAAATATTGCAACTTAAGATATAAATAAGACCTCTCTACCCTGCTTGACTTCACGACTTTGCCTCGTGGATTTAAGATGCACTTGAAGCTCAGCCTTAATTTTAATGCTAGAAATCTATTGTATTTAGACTTTGCAGTTTAAAACGATGTTTACAAAGAGCGTAGTTAAAATAGCTTTTTCTTTTAGTTTGGGTACTAAAAAATATTTTAATCCTTCGTTCGTCCCTCTCTCCTTTCCTGCCTCTTTCCTTTCCTTCTTCTAGGTTCGCATGGCTCTGAAAAAGGCCGAAAAAGAATTTGAACTGAGAAGCAGCTGGTCTGTTCCAGATGCACTTCAGAAATGGCTTCAGTTAACACATGAAGTTGAAGTGCAATACTACAATATTAAAAGACAAAACGCTGAAATGCAGCTAGCTATTGCTAAAGATGAGGTACTCTCTTGTATTTCAAAGTTTACTAAATTTGTTTCTTAGGCTGCATTCTTAGAGGGATTACTCAACTGGGATACACAGATCTGAATAAAAGTTTTATTATTGCAGATTCCTTTTTCAAACTGGAACTTACTGTGTAAATAGACTCTAGTAATCATAAGCTTTAAATTAAAATTACTGCATTTGGATACTTTTCGAAGTGACCTTAGTGATTTAAACATTCTTTTTTTTTTTTTTTTAATCATTATCATAAAAGTTTTATACAGAGCTTTTTTCCTTTAGGTTGCTGCTTCATATCTGATTCAGGTTAGTAGTTACTGGAAATTAATTTTGACACTTACATTGTGTGGAATGAGAATAAGTGTTAATCTGAATTCTAGCAAAAGAATTTAAAAGCTTAGTTCACTCACTAGCACCATTATAGTAGGATATAGTTAATGTTTTTCTGTTACTTTTAGTACAAGATTCGGGTCTTCCTGAACCATAGAAATAAGAGAAAAATTCTCCAGAATCAAGTTTTGAATTACATCGATTGGCTTAGGAAAGCACATTTTCTCCCTCATCTGTTTTCTTTTTTGGAATGCAGGGATATCTTAGCCAGTAATTCTCTACTGGTTTTATGATTGTTAATATATTAAAAACCAAAATAAACTTTATTATTTTATATATATAAAAATGTTTGTATTTTTTTTCAAACCTAGCCTTATTTTATTCCTTTTCGGTTTCTAGGCAGAAAAAATTAAAAAGAAGAGAAGCACAGTCTTTGGGACTCTGCACGTTGCACACAGCTCCTCCCTAGATGAGGTAGACCACAAAATTCTGGAAGCAAAGTAAGAATGTTATTTTAGTTTTTATTTGCTTTATTGTTACTGTGTTGAAATGAGTAATTTATAAACAATTTACATTTATCATTTAATTATATAATTACATAAATTACATTAGTTTTAAAAGTGAGTTATTTCTTCTTGAGATTAGTTAATTGCCACGGTCTGTTCATGTATTGCCTTCTTTCAGTGCCATATTAAAGATCTTTTGATGCAGTAAGTAATTTCTTTATTGGCTTTTCCAGGAAATCTCTCTCTGAGTTGACAACTTGTTTACGAGAACGACTTTTTCGCTGGCAACAAATTGAGAAGATCTGTGGCTTTCAGATAGCCCATAACTCAGGACTCCCCAGCCTGACCTCTTCCCTTTATTCTGATCACAGCTGGGTGGTGATGCCCAGAGTCTCCATTCCACCCTATCCAATTGCTGGAGGAGTTGATGACTTAGATGAAGACACACCCCCAATAGTGTCACAATTTCCTGGTAAGTGGTGAGTTCAACAAAAAGTGTTGATATAGGTTTTATAGTAATTTTCCCCTGTGTCCTTTTAGGAATCATGTACTTTGAAATCTATGAGAAAAAATTTGGGTTATCCTTCATTTTCTCTTTCTTTTTGTTAGTAATTTAAATATTTACTATTTGAGAAAACCATGTGAAACGCATATATAAATACTTTTTGTATATTTATATTATATATTTATACACACTTTAATCTGAGTGCTTTATAAATTTGATTATTAAATGTTTATTTGAGCAACTGTTTCATATAACATTATATTAAGTGTTGAATATAAGACTTTTTTTTTTTAAAACGATGCTTGTAATTAAATCGAAATGAGGAGTCACATAAAAACATAATTGACGGTAAAGATAGCACATGATAAATGCCAAATCAGTATGGGAATGAAGTGCTGAGCTTTTGGGGAAAATATCCTTTCAAATGGCCGCTTAATGTATAGTAGAAATAAAAATTAGGGGAAGATCTTGGAAACAGGGATTTGAATCCTAGCTCTACCACTAACTCACTCTAGGTATGTACTTGTATTATTTTGCTGGTTTTACTTCTCTGGTTTGATGGCAGACAGTTAATGCAAGGAGAGTGAGGCGGCACTCAACTCTTAAAGGAGACAAGAAGAGTGGACAGATTGTAAATACAACAAAACTAGAAGTGTGTGACTGCATTCATTTCGCTTGCTCCATACTGCAAGGTCGTGATGGTTGCAAAGTTATGTCTAGATCTGGGCCAGCTCTGCAGTTTGAATATTGTCAGTTTGTATTTGTTTATTTGAATTATATGCCCTTAAGCTTGCCAAATGCAACACTGATTCATAAGTATATGCTTTTGTTTGAAAACTGTAGCTTTTAAAAGTTGAATTTCCTCCTTAAAATCCATGTTTAATATCTGAATTGTGCCTGAAGGTGCATTCTCTAGATTGACTAGTTTTTTTCTTTGCTTTTTAAAAACACTTTTTGGGGTGGGGGCAGAGGTATTGGATATCCATATGTCTGTTAAAAGGAACAATTGTACTAAATGTGAATAATTATTCTAGTTGTAAGTGATTGTGTCATATAGGCAAATTTAAACTTTTAAATAAGAAAAAAGTACGAGAGTTGGTTATAAATTTAATGTTTTAGAAATGCTATGATCAGGTCGTGCGCGGTGGCTCATGCCTGTAATCCCAGCACTTTTTGGAGGCTGAGGAGTGCGGATCACTGGGTCAAGAGTTCAAGACCAGCTTGGCCAACATGGTAAAACCCTGTCTCTACTAAAAATACAAAAATTAGCTGGGCGTGGTGGCGTGTGCCTGTAATCTCAGCTAGTCAGGAGGCTGACACAGGAGAATCGCTTGAACCCGGGAGGCAGAGGCTGCAGTGGACCAAGATTGTGCCACTGCACTCCACCCTGTGCGACAGGGCGAGACCCAGTCTCAAAAAGAAATGCGTGATCAAATTTATTATCTCTGAAAAATAACTCATGCCAAAGATTACAATTTGAGAGCTCTGCCTCCACCCAGTGGCACCACAGAGGTACTCCACTCTGCTTAGTTAGAAAAGCCTAATTTCTGGACCTGATAAATGGAAAACTCTCGGCAATGGAAGTCTAGGAAAGGACGAAGGCTCTTCATTTCTATACCCTCCTGAGCAGTTAAATTTTTTTTTTTTTTTTTTTTACCATGGATTTGTGTAAATTTTACAAGTTTGAAATGATGACAAGGAAACATGCCTGTAGTGTGTTAAGAACACAGTAAAAGATTGTAACAATATACATAGAATAATATTGTCTATGTTTAATTATATGGAAATATCAATGGTTAACTCTGTGTAGATAGGGGAATGGGTGATTGTTGTTTTCCTATTACTTTTAAAAATATCTTTTCCTATTACTTTTTAAATATCTGCTAAGTGCTTTCCTTGGTGAGAATGTGATAACAATTTATTTAAACTTTCTTATAAAGTCGTCCACACACACTTAAAGTGACTGAGAATAATATACCCACCTACCAAAAAGATAAACAGATTTCAACATTTTTCTTTATCTTTTTCTCTGAAATAAACTATTACAAATACACCTAAACCACATTGCCTCCCTTTCCCCACTGTTTTGAAGTTGTGACTTATGCTAAAGCCTGTTGTACTTTCATTACATACATATATATCCATAACATTATATACAATTGTTGCATGTTTAGAAGTGTATATAAATGTTATCAAACTAGGTGTTATTTTACAACTTTTTTTGCTCAAAAGTTAACATTTCAAACATGTTTCATGTTTATGTATAGATGAATTAAAGTCACTGCTTAATGAGTTAACCATAACTTATATATTTAATTTTTGTATTTAAAAATCCATAGTTTGTCCGTTTTTCTACTGACATAGGTTCTTTCTACTTTCTTGACCCTTGCAAACAATGTGCAACAAGCATGTTTACCTGTATTTCCTTGTGCATAACTTTGAGAGTTTCTCTGTGTGGACACCTAGAAATGGACTCCTGGGTCATTGGGAAGGCACCTTTTACTAGTCATTGCCAAGTTGCTTTCAAAATGGTTTACACTGTTTTATAAGAGTGCCTGTGTGCCTGTATCCTCATCAGTGCTTGGAATAATCCAATTTTCTTGTTTTGCAATTCGAATGGGTATGAAATGATACCTCACAATTACTAAACTTTTTATTTCCTTGATGACTGTTGAGGTTGAGTGCCATTTCCTTTATTGGCATTTGTTGTTCAGATTTCTTCCTCTCTGAGTTGCTTGTTCTTGCTGTGGAGTCCCTGCAAGATTCCATACTGATGTGGAAGTGTTCTTTTTTTTTTTTTTTCTGGTTATTTGAGGGTTGCAAATATCTTCCAGACTTTGGCTTTTTTAATGGCAAATTGTGAATCTAATTTGTGCTTTTTATGTCTTTTTCAGAAGATGATAGATTGTTGTTTGCACTCCTTAGAGTTTTTAAGTTTTTCTTTAATCCATTAGTCCTGTAATCCACCCAGAAGTTATTTTTGTTCATAGTGTGAAGTTGGAATCTAAATATATCTCTTGAGGTATGGGTAAACAGTTGTCTCAGCTTCATTCCTGTTCTGTCCTTGCTGACTTATAATACTACTTCCCTCCGTAGATACATAAGTGCTCCCAGCTCTCCCATTTTGTTTCACTGGCCCCGTTCTGCTTTAGTTTCTAGGGTTTTGTAAAAAGTATTAATATTTCATAAGACCAAGTCTTCCTTTATTATTCAAATTCAGAATTTCTACTCTTAACTAATCTTCTGAATTTTAAGATCAGCTTATGAAATTCCATGAAAGGCTCCATTGGGTTTAAAAATTTTTTTTTTGAATTTGTGAATTTGTATGCAGTGAATTATTAATAAATTCCATTTATCGAGATCTTTTATATCTTTAAATAAAATTGATAATTTTTTTTCTCTGTGCAGGTCTTGCTTTTTGTTAAAAAAAGATTAATTTCTAGGTACCTTAATAAATTTTTGGTAGTTATATACATTACCTTTCTTATAAAACTTTATTTCAGATTGCTTGTTGCTGATGAGGAAATGCCATTGGATTTAGTATGCTGAATACAGAATACTAAATACAGAAACATATATTTAAGTATTTTATGGTAGTCTTGGCTTTTTCATGTTAATACTAGTAAGTTTTTCCTCTTTATTGCCCAAGCTAAGACTGCCAGTAAAACATTGAATGAAAGTGGTGACTGATTGCCGTTTCTGACTTTGAAGGGTATGTTGCCAGAATTTCACCAGGAAGTATTTTTTTTTTAATGTTTTTGGTAGATTACTTGTAAGTTAAGGAAAGTCATTTCTATTTCTGTTTTGCTAAGAATGTTTTTTTTTGTTAATCAGTGGATATTAAATTTTACCAAATTATTTTTCTGCATAATTTTAGGTGATCATTCATTTTTTATTCTGCTGAATTTTTATCTGTTTAAGTAAATCCTTTAAATGTCAGTGAAACTATGTTTGTCACAATGTGCTATTTTTAGAATGAGTTGGATTTGGTTTGTTATTTAGGACTTTTGCATCTGTAATCACACATTGGATTTTTCTTCCTGACACTATCTTGGATTTTGGTATCAAGATTATATTAACATCACAAAATAAATCAAAGAGTAGTCCCCCTCTGCCCATATATGTGGTTTTGCTTTTCATGGTTTCTAGTTACTTGTGGTCAACTGTGGTTTGAAAATGGTGAGTAGAATACAATAAGATATTTCGAGGTGGGGGTGTTTGGAAACCACATTTACTTAACTTTTATTACAGTATGTTATTATAATTGTTCTTTTTTATTATCAGTTATTGTTAATCTCTTGCTGTGCTTAATTTATAAACTAAACTCTATTATAGGTATGTATGCATAGTAAAAGCATAGTGTGTAGAGAGTTTGGGACTATCCATGGTTTCAGGTATCCACTGTGGTCTTAGAATGCATCTGCCAAGCATAAGGAGGAATACTGTACTCCTTGTTCTTTCATTCCATTCTTTTCTGCTTTTAGAGAGAGGCAGCAATATAAAGAGGGTTAAGATGTGGAATTCTGGAACAAGACTGCTTGGGTTTGATTCTTTACTTCACCTTGCAGTAATTGTATTACCTTTTACTCCGGGCACTGAGTGGGAGGCACTTTCCTGAGTTTCAGCTTCCTTTTCTGTAAAATGTAGCCTACCTTGTGGAGATATGTTAAAATTTAAATTAAGTAGTACCTGTAAGACACTTGGAACCAGCCCCTGGGCTACAATAATCAGTCAGTAAATTGTATGATTTTTATTCTATACTTTGAAATAGTATAAGGTATGGATTATTTGTTCTTTGAGGATTTTAAATACATTGCCTATGAATTGACCTTGATGTATATGTTTTGGCAAGGAACAGATTTTTAAACTGTAGTATTAATTTAATTTAATGATTAAAAGTGTAGATTTGTGAAGTTACATGTTTCTAGAATATTGTGTTTTATCTGAATTTTAAAATTTATTGGCTT